AGTGCCTGCGCACCTGACCTCCCCCCACACCAGGCAATGCCACTGGGCGCACTGACTCAGAGCAAGTTGATGGATACTTGCCTGGAGGTAAAAATGTGTACTATGAAAGCTCCCCCAAGAGGAGCTCTTTTTAGTTAATTTTTAGTTATTTTTTGGGTACCCCTCATATGTATATACATATATGAATACATATACATGTATACATGTAACATAATATATGTAGGGGACATCAAAACGTTTTAGGAAAAATCCCATCATCTTTTAATTCTATTCTCCTGCAAACATTGTAGAAAGCCTTTGTGCATATGTGTGCATCAGGAGAAGTAAAGCTAAGGAGTGGGAAGTACCAACAGTGATTTTAACCCAGATTTAATTATTATCAATAAACAAGCAAGGTTATTTATAGAGAAGATTTTTTTTTAATAAAAGTTTCACATAATTCTTACACCATGAAAATGGCTCTAAAAGCTTACAGGTTAGAGAGCACCTTCCTATAAAATACCACATTTGATTATTACGTATAAAGATGAAAAAGTACACTATGCTGCATCCAAGAAGTTCTTGGTGTATAGCTTATGCAAACACCTCAAGCAGGGACTCAAAGACTGTAAAGGTTTGTGGTCATGTGTTGGTTGTGCAAAGGCAGAACTTCAAAAACACCATTGCTCCAGGAGAGAAGAATGAGGCTTTCTATTCCTGTGAAAAGGCACATCCCTGGAACCACACAGAGGCAGCTCTACCGGGTCCTAAACTGTAAGCTATGGTCAAGTTAACGGTGATTAAAATCAACTCCACAGCAGTGAGCTGTTTCTGGTGTTTGTTTTGGAGAAGATAAAATAGAGAACTATAGCTTAGATGTGAGTCATCCACATTGTAAAGTCTTCAGACTTTGAGGTCTAGCTGTCTCCGTTGCCATTATTCAATTCTGCCCTGGAATCAGCTGCAGACAACACATGAAGGCATGAACAAGTAAATGCGACTGCTTTCCACACGGGTTCTTCTTGACAGACACTGACATATGAATTTCATGCAGTGTCCATATGTCACAAATGATTAGTTTTTCCAACTCTTGCAAACTATAGTAAAGGCGAGGCAATAGGCTGGTTTTGAGCCATGGATCATATTTTAACTGACTCAGTCTAAACCAGAGACCAAAACCTTCTAATGCACTTCAATGAGTAATAGAAATGTCAAATACTATTTCTTAGTATTGCAAAGGTTGGCAAAAAGGATTCAGGAAATTAAAGTGATTTACAAGAAGGAATCCAGAAATAAGTAGAGAAGCTGTAACTTAAATCAGCTCTTTATTCACTTATAATTCTGTCATTGGTTTCTCACGAAGAAACTGAGCCTATGTCATTGATAAACATCATGTAATATCTTACATAGCTATTCTTATTTCTGCTCGCATCCATTCCACATTTTCCAGCATTTGGAAAAGAAAAGTTTGTACTAGTTTTTATGTGCTTTTGACTAATTAGAATGTAATTTACTCAAAGAGGAGAGGAATTACATTCTCATTATCTACACTTCATTCTAATCCTTCAGTTATTCAAAAAAGACTTTTCATGCTTGATCAAATCCACTCTATATATCTATATCCATGTCAGTGTAGGCATTTCATCTTGAATTGGACACTGCATTGTAAAAAAACAAAAAACAAAAACAGAATGAAAAGATAATCGATTTTTCCTTGAACTTTTCAAAGGTGTCTTGTGTGTGTGTGTGCACGTGCGTGTGCGCTCACATACATAAGTGGGCATTCATTCCTCCTCAGCAATGACATCATTATGGCCCTGGAAACATGGATATTTAGGAGCGCACATATTGGCCAATGTCAATAAAAATGTTTCCTTCATATATTTGGCAAAATTATTGACTTGATCACTGCCTAAGAAATATAGAGAAATTGGCAAGTATCAAAATGAGCTAGAACTGTTATCAAAAGTCTTATAAATTGTCTAATGCACTAGATATAAAAAATAGCAACATTACCTCAAGGATAATATAAAATGAACTTAAGTAACTCATATTTAGATATATTCTCTTAATAGGAGAACCATATATCTTTAATGCTTTTGTTTTTGTTCACAAGAATCTCGTCGGGGTTTCTGTGTCAGTGAGGGACATGGAGAAGGGGAAATCCCATAACTTCAGAGGGGACTCTTACTGTGCCTATAATTGTAACAATTCCACCTTTCATTCAGCAGTATGGGTGAAGATACATGGCTGGTTCAATATGATTGTATTTGTATGCGTGAGATACAAATTCACTTTCTATGTAAAATGATGGCAACGGAGGCCATTCTTTATAGAAAAAGATAGATTGCTGATTTTTGCAGGAGTTTTCCCTATTGTTCATTCATTCGTTTATTTATTGCTTCATGTTTTATTTATGTCAGGATATGGCTGGCAGAAAGGTAAAGTAATTGGTAGAATTTTGTCAAAATCACCCATATAGACAGATACATAGCCAAGCACAAAAAATATGAGTGACAGAGCTCTTAGCCCAGCTGAGGAAGATAGGGATCCCTCTTAAGCATGGTGCCTGGGACCCCCACAATCCACACAGAGGAGAAGCATTACAGACCACCACCCACCCTCATTAGGAAGGGACTCCCAACCATGTGTGGGAAACACACCAGCCCAGATGTTGGCATGGAATCTCTCTACCAAGTAAGTCTTTACCCTTGACTTACATGAGATGGGACAAGGGGAAACGAGAGGGGTTTTGATTTCCGATTCTTATATTTCCTGTAAAATATTTTATTTGAATAGTTATAACATAGACAATGTGCATTCAAAATAGTGTTTTTATAAGAAAACTTTTTTTTTCTTGATTTATTCCTAAAAGGGAAAACAAAACAAAAAGTTATTCCCCTGCTTTTTAAGGATGAGAAAAAATAAAGAGGCAGGATTGGGACATTCATAACAAAAATATTTTCCTAACACAAATGCAAGCTATTTCCATTTGATTTCAGTACAATTGCTTTTGTTTACTCTATGGAATACTCTGTAGGGAGAAAAGAACAAAATGAAGGGACTCTTGGACACAGTTTCAGATGCATATAGGAAAATGCTAACATCATTGTTTCAGGTCTCCTTTGATTTGTAAGTTTCAATGCCATGTTTCTGCCTTGGACAAACATTGTAGCTGCAGCCCTGTCCTTTCTGGATGAGGGTTAGGACAGATGGTGTGTGATCCTGCACAGCCGACACATTAGGGAAGCTCCCTGGCTTGGGGGTGGACGATTTTTCAGTACTCACAGTCCTAAAGGGAGAATAAACAGTCAAGCAGGGAGATGGAAGCCAGCGAGCCTGCAGCCATGTAGGATCTATTGCGGTGCTTGCTGTTTCTCCCATAGGTACTGAGCAAATACATGGAGTGTAATTTCTAATCGCTTTACTTATAGGTACCATGAGCATAGTTTAAATGTGACTCCTTCCAGAGATCAGTAATTAATCAGAGGAACGATTCTCCATGCTGACTCTATTCTTTACCCTAGTGTCTAGAGGATCCAGGCTGAACCTCCCTCTCATTACTTATTGATGAAATGGTGTGTGGCCACGCACGACTTTGAGCTGCACAAGGGAGAGGGTGTATCCAGCTGCACAATAGCCCAAGGCTGATGTGATTAAGACAGAGGTCAGACATACCTTCATTCTCCCACCATCTTCTTTACCGTGGTCTGATAGCAACCATCTTCCCAAGTCTTCTGCTTCATGGGTGGGTTCAACAATCCATTGAAATTGCCGCACAGCAGTCGACGACAGCACTCAAGATTATGGGGGTTTATTAGGGAGATTCATATGTTTTGAAATGTTAAAGTTACAGTTTTTGTTTTTGTTTGTTTGGTTTTTGTCTGAAGTGCCTCTTCTCAGCCAGGCTGGTACATGCATCTCTTTGTAGTCCTCAGCCTGTCAGCACATGGCCCCTTGACTTCTGCCCTGCTCGGGAGGATGTTCCCTTGCCCCATTCATGTTGATACATGCTCAAAGAGCACTGTCCAGCAAGCTAGCCTGCTGCCTAACGGCACTCAGCTGCACACCTTCTGTGGGTCAGTCTGTCTCAAGGTCTTTGCTGTCACTGCTTGTTTCTTCAGGTATCTATCCCAGCTCAGCACAATTCCTCTTCCCCTGGTCCCTGGATGCCCTCTTCCTGCTTCTATGATGCCTCAATTTAAACTCAGTAGGATGGAAAGACTAGCTTCAAGTTAGAGTCCTCTACACCTGACTTGAACGATAGCACCGAGTCATTGGATAGGAGCTACAAAGACTATGAATGAAGCAGCCATGGCAAGTAATCTTACCACCCTCCCAAAAATGACAATACACTTCAAGCATGTTTGTAAGCAAATGCATTTCATTCTGTATTGTTGAGTTAAAAAAATGATCTCAAATAATGGATACTTTTCTCAACTTCAATATTTTAAGCTTTTTAAATAAAGTATAGCAAGTCAATATTTAAAAGGTTCCATCCCTTTTCAATATGGAATAATTTGAAGAATGGGAAAAATATACCAGTGTTTTCAAAGGTTGTTTTCCATCAGAATTCAGCTTCTTTAATGGTTAGAAATATATTAAATTCTATGGTAGGGTGTCTTCCTTTCCGTCTCATTTGCATTAGATAAATTACTTGTAAATATCAAGATTCCACTAAGACATGCTTTGAGTTTCAACATGCCTTTATCATAATAAAAATAAGAAATTGCTAAATGTTGTATTCAATGGAGCTTTTTCCTGTTACACATGAGTACTATATAGTGGTAAATAACAGTCCCCTGGTATGTATGGACCAATGTTTAGAAAGATGTGATACAACTGGTAATGTCTGTTTCCAATCTTTATGTAAACTGCTCAAAAAAAGTAAGAGTTTTCTATAGCATAATTCACTACCATTAAATATTGTTTCCCTACTCCACATTCATTTCATCCTGAGATTCCCTACAGGATGAAAAACAAACAAACAAGCAAAAACAATAACCCCCCCCCCAACTTACCTTTCCAACATATTGTGGATCTGGTCCCATATGTTCTTCTAAAACAAAGAACTGATTCCACACCCATCCTCTTTTGGGCCGATGGTGGACTTCGGTTTCTCCTTCAATGTGTTTGGTTTGGTTTTTGGTCACCTTGATGGAGCTGTGGTGAGCAGTCCCAGAGCACCTCTGAACAAAACAGAGACACACCAGGACTGGACAGATGCAAGATGTGCCCGTGATTTTCATTGTCAGATACCTGTCCGGTTCACCGTTGTCTTTCTGTTCTTGTCAGCACAAATGCCTAGTGAGCATTTAGGAGAGAAGCCAACGACTCTTTTGGAAGAACAGTCCAAAGTAAATTGTTTAATGTGTCCATGATTTAACTGCCCATCAGGGAAGGGTCAGACTACATTTACATCCTGAATCACTCGGAGAATCAAAGTTGCAGTTTTCTGAATCCAAGTGTTCACAGTAGGTAGACCAGGCCAACCATTTTCCACCTAATGGAAACAGAGAAAGTTGCATTAATTATGAAATATGGTAATTTTAACATGGTAAAACTATGAATGCAAACTATTATTTTGCAATGTGATGTTGGTAGGCAAAGACCACATGAAAATTATCTTTGAAATTCACATCCAGCACACACAAAAAAACTGGATATTCACTAGAGCTTTCATATCTAGACTTTCAAATTTGAATTATAAAGAGGTCTTTTGCAACCACCAGAATGACACTCCAGGAAACATTTAAATACTCAGAAAATGACCATGAGTATGTGCCGGGCTGCTATGGAGGTTCAGAGAACGAGCACTCTATTGGGAGTACCATTCAAAATGCAAAGATAGCTATTTATTTATTTTTGATGTGTGAGTTTGCTGTTAGTGTTCTGTTTTATATTTTGCTTCAGGTGTGTTTTCAGGTGTAATCCTAATCCTCCACACATGTGGCAAAATGGGTAACCTTCTGCATCATAACCACGGAACTTCCATACAATACCCGAATCCCAGCACCACAAGTCACCACAACAATCAAGTGTCATAAGTACTTATACTATTTAGTAGTTAAAACACACAAAAAGGAAGAAGCTGATTTAATAAGATATAGAGAACTGAAAAATACTCAAGGCAAGGAGGAATATAAAAGTCAATTGGCTACATTATACTTTGCATAGATTTTGATAACGTCCAAACTCACTGCCATCAAGTCAATTTTGACTCAGAGTGACCCCATAAGAGAGAGGAGAATTGCTCCTGTGGGTTTCTGAAGCTGGCAGTAGCAGAAAGCCTCATCTTTATCCCTCAGCACTGCTGGTGGATTAGAACTGCTGACTTTGGTATTCCTAATCCAATATGTTACCACACACCACCAGGATACTTGCATATAGGTAACACCAATTTTCCATTTTGGCAATACATTACTAGGATTGATCTTTAGCCGCATTAGGAAGAAACAATAGGGGAAGGGAGGCATAATGTAAAAAGTAGAAGTCAAAGTGCTCAAAGGTTTCAATGCAATTAAACAGCAACGGAAAACTCGCGACATGTTGCTAGGAACACAAAGACCAATTTGCAAATAGCAATTTGCAAATAGCAAGGTGGTTCTGGAAACAAAATAAACAAACAAACAAGTTTATTTAAAACAACTGAAAAATTGCAGCAATCATTGCTATTGTGTGTGTGTGTATGTGAATGTGCATTTAGAAAATGTATTTTAATTTTAACAGTATGGCTGTTCCATCTAGTATTAAAAAGTGTGTGGCTGACCAAATAATCAACACAGATATGAAGTCTTATGTGAATATTTTCATATCATTACTAGGTGTTTATTATGACAATACAATTGAATTAAAAAAATAATTATAAATAACCAGTCATGATATTTTATAACACTTAAGAAAAGATGCAAATGTGAAGGAAAATATCATTTGGTACATTGAACCAAAGCATTTCTCTATCAAGGATTATCATAAAGATCATCATAAGAGTTGTCTGAGAATTGCACTGAATTGTAACTATAATTTCATTTTAATCGCCTAAGAAAAATATTTCGCAGTGTTAAATACTTTGTAGAAACAAAGACAATTTGTTCACTGATTTAATCCAAATAGCTCAAAATCTGTCCAAATATCTAAAAGAAACCAATACCATTCTTGCTCTGATATTTTAAAAACACTGGGGAAGTTTAGGAAATGCAATTTTTGTTCACTTTTTCCAACAAATTACTTACTAGTATCAACTTACTAGTATAATCCAACAAATTGCTTACTAGTATAAACTTACTAGTATAGTCCTACTTAGTGGATCTCACTTTTTTCATTTGCTAAAATAAAGGGATCGAATAACTTTTAATATTTCTTCCACTTTAATAAATTATTTGCATGATTTTCTTTTTATGCCAAAAGATTCCTTATTTTGAAGTCATGAAACTGAGAAAAGCAAAAAAGTTCATCTGGCCTTTCTTTCAGCAGTCACGTCGATTAAGATACAAAAAGGTGTTGTTATCTTAATGCTTTCACACCATTTAGTGTGATTTTCAAATGAAATTAACATCTTTGCCCTTTATGCTAAGTTGTTTAACGAAGCATAATTTATGAGTGGAAGGTGGAGAAAACTTTTTTTGTAGTGCACTCCAAATATGTAGAATGAGCATTTTCTTTACACTAATGGTTATGTGTGGCATCCAAAAAATAGAGAAATATATTTTAAGTCACATACGTAGTGTGCTCATAAGTTCCTTGATTGACACTTAGAAGCTACAGATACAACTGTAGAATGGAAGTGCAAATGTGAGCATCAATACTGTGGTCTCACATAGAATTCCACTATTCTAAAATAAAGGATGAAGGAATTCCAAAAAGTTCAGCCCTAAAAGATCACAAAGAATGACAATGTAAATAATATAAGTAATAAGTGAAAGTTCAGGGCAATACCATTGAAGACAAGTTGCACCTGTTTCACCACCTGTTTTTTAGTAACTCACTGCCACAATTTCGATTCCAACTCCTAGTGGCCCAACCACAGGAAAGAGGAGAACCGTCCCTATGGACAGTCTAACTCTTCACTGGAGCCGAGAGCCAGGTCTTTCCCCTGAGGAGCTAGTGGTTGTTTTGACTACGGATCTTGTGGTGGTCAACCCAGCACACAGCACGATGACATTGGGGCTCCCAGTTTGGAATAAGAAGTATCAAACATTCTTCACAGAACTGCTAATAGAAACCTAATGAACAACAGAATTTTCAAATTTCTTAAGGTATTCTTTTTTCAAAATGTTCCAAATGCTTAAGGCTTTTTTCCTTCAATTTTACAGAATTCCTATTTAAGTTAATCTCTTCTTACAGTTGCCTATAAGTGGCAAAATGAAATGACAGTCCCTTTGACATATTCTTTAGAAATCTTTCCTCGGCCAGATGTACAACTTTATCACTTATAAAGTCTGCCTTCCACCATTTGAGCATAATCTTTTCAGTTTCTTGTGACTACATCAAATGCATTGGCCTTGTTTTACCCATTATCCAATCATATTTACTAACACCTACACATTTATTAAAATATTGCTGATAACACATGTATATAATCTAAAATGATACTGGTATTCTCTACAGCTTTTCTCCTTTCCTCTGTGGCACCACAAGAATTGTTTTAGATACATAATTTTTCTAATAATATCTTGAGGGAAATCCAAGATCTTTTGTTAGCCACCTGAAAACTCTTCAAATCTCCACTCATGATCCAATTCCCAAACCATTTCCATATGTAGGACGCAATTAGAGGAGTTCCTCACCCTGGTCTCAAATTCTGATCTAATGCAGAAATACCACGAGGGAATGACTTTCACAAGCGAAATCTATTATCTCAGTTTAGAAAGCTAGGAATCCCCAGGCACCTGCACGAGGGGAAAACACTGTTTCTATGGTCGTTGTCCCCTTTCCATTGTTGAGGGGTTGCCATTCCATGTGTTTTAGCATCGGTTTTCCTAGGTGGGAGAGGTTCTAGGCACAAGGACAATGATTCCAAGAGGGAACACTCTTCTCCCAACTATTATTTCTTGGTTTTAGCAAGAGTCCCCCTCTCTGTTCTCTTCTTTCTCATTTTCATGTCTCGTCACACAAAAGGGGTGGCTCAAGGGAAGGTTCCACTTGAGGAAGAGTGTTGACTTAGTTAGGGTGAGACTTGAATCATGTTCTTTGTTTTCGCTGTGCTTCAAGATAGAAGCCAACATAAGCCTCCTTCATTTACACATAGAGGCTAAGTATATTATGAGATGGAAGACGATGCACAATATTCAGAAGCCTACTCAAGTAGGCACACATTTTGGGGACCCAATTCAATCCATCAGGAGGGAGATGAAGCTGTCTCTACTTGTGAAGGTTTATAGTCTTAGAAACCCACAGGAACAGTTTTACTCTGTCCAGAGGGTCACTATGATTTTAAATGGACTCAATGACACTGAGTAAACTCAATCCAAGACATACATTTTTGTTTTGTATGTTGTATATACACAGCTCAATCTATAACACTGCCCATGGGAGTTTTTCCTGTAACACCAGCTTGAAAGAATGACTTAAACATTATAGATGACACCAATACAAGCTAATATCCTGAAGGTGAAAATAAAGTTATTAAAATATGTATTATACCTGAGAAAAGATGTCATTGTATATACATAGCCTAGAATTCAGACATAATACAACTTTAATTTCTTTTTAAAATATGCCTTGTGGTGGCTTCAAATAAATCATTATGGAAAGGTTAGTTCCAATTTCTCCAAAATGAGTCATTTCCACATAAAGAGCAGCCTAGTAATTTGATGGATATGAAATCTGACAGCTGGGAAATCCCTCTGTGTTCAGCGAGCACCGTGCTCTTATGGGCATGAACGTGTCCACCAAACACATCCTTCTATTTTGTCCCATGAACAAAAAGCACACATTCTCATGGTACTTCATCTTCCTTGATAATTTCCATTTCAGCTGCACTTATTTTATGCACAATCTGATCAATTTCTGACCAGTAATATGCAATGTTAGCCTAGAAATCGGTCAAATCAACCTTTGTATTTTTTTTAAGCAAGTAAACAGGATCTAATGTCCCTGATGGGTATGGAGAATTAAAGGTTTTACTCACAAAGTAAAATCAATACAGTATTTCCAAACACAATTTTCAAAAGTGGAAAATAAAAGCAAAGAAAGCATTTTTTATTTTTAGTTTAGGCAAACAAGAAACATTCTCCATACTTTTTTGGAGTCCAAGCACCAAGAGGCATAAGAAAACCCAGCCAATGGGCCGAGTGACAGGCAAGCATGTCTGTGGTAAACATGAGTATCCTATTATTTGCTAATGGGTTTTCTCAGCACTCTGGGAAGGAATGACTACACTGAGGAACTCTAAATGGCTAATGATTTAATCTTGGGCGATGGGAGTAACTCAAAGTAAACAGGAAAAGTAATTTGGGAAACAATACAAAGTTATTAAATCATAAATTCAAGGGATTTCATAGC